CGCCACCCTAGTCAACCGTCCCGCGTAAAACTGTTAATACAGGTAGTGCGGGTTGGGCTGCCACGTCGCGCCCCGTCCGCGCCGGCAACGCCGGTATACGGCCCACGTCAGCGCGCCGCCGCACACCAGGCTGCACAGGATCGTCAGCACCGCGCGCACGCGCGCAGAGTTGATGGACAACGGGAGCGAGAGGCTCACGCTGGACTCCCCTTTGTAGCAGGTGCGGTCCGTGCCGGCTTCGACGGCATCGGAGGCGGCGGCTTCGGAGGCGAAGACGCACAGGGAAGGGTCGGGGAAGAAGGAGGCGAGCTGGGGGGACTGCCCGGAGAGGGAGACGTTGGCGACGACTCGATACTTGCCGGAGGAGCAGTGAGTGACATTGAAAGAGATGAGACGGCAGGGCGTGGGAGTGTAGTCGGCGAGGGTGGACTTGTAGGTGGACCAGGTGAGGACGGCGAAGACGGTGGAGATGGCGAAGAGGAGGGCGGTGATGAGGAAGAAAGCAATGCGGAGGGGCTTTGCCATGGGAGCGCAGGTGTGAGGACGAGGGATGCTGGGGGGTGGGAGGTGCGGTGGGGGCGGGGCGAGGTGTGGCGGAGGGGCATGGGTGGACGCGGTGGGGATTATATGAAGCGGCAACAGGCGGGCGGGGGAGGACGGGCGGTGTGGCGATGGGCGGAATGGGGCATGCGTGGCAGGGCGGTTTTTTTCGTGGAGAAAATGGGGGTCGGGAGGCGCGCTGGCGGTGGACTCGTGAGAGCGGGCGGGCGATCTACGCGCGGGAGGAGGCGGTGCTCGTCGTGTACGGTAGACGGCGGGGCGGGGGCGCCGATCCGGCGGGAGACGGCCTTCGAAGGGGCGCGGTGGCACGGCGGCGGCATGCGGCGCGCGAGGGAACGGCTACTTGATTGCCGCGGTGGTGGACGTTGGGTATCCCGACATGGAGCGGTGCCTGCCGCCGCCTCCACGTCACGCACAATCTTTTAGCTATTCGTCTTTAACGGACCGCTACTACCGGCCACGCATGCAAACTAGCCTCCCCAGAAACTCCTCCCTGCAGCACTCTAAATTTATATACATCCTCCCCATCCCCCCTCCCGCCCTCACCAAATTGTCCACCCGCACCGCGCCCGCATTATTCATCGTCATCGAAAATGGCGTCGATCTCGTCATCCCAATTCCTCTTCCCGTTCTCCGCTTCCTTGGCTCCCTCGTCCGCGCCGTTCGCCGCCGGCCTGGCCAGCGCCGCCAGCTCCTCGTCCTCGCCGTCGTCCGCGAACAGCGCGTCCGCGTCCTCGTCGTCCACCCTCTCTTCCGCCGGCATCACCCCGTCGTTCGCCAGCAGACTCTGCCGGACCCGCTGCACGTGAAAAAAGTAAGTATTCCAAAACTCGTCCTCTTTCATTTTCCCCGGCACCAACCCCGCCCTCAGCCTCCTCATATTCGAGTCCGCTTCTAGCGCCGCCATCGCCATACCCGCCTTGCCATCAAAGTCGAACTCAAACGCTTCCCTATCGGCCGCCCCCCCTAAAAACAGCTCGGTCCTTCTCTTCTTCGAATAAATCGCATCCACCACGATCTTCAGCATTTCCTTCCTCAACGCATCCGCATACTTCCGTTCGCCCTCCGGTAGCGCCCGTTCATCCCACGGCGGCAAGCCGCCGCCGCCCTCCTCCCTCCCCTCGGCGTCCACAAAGATCTCGAGCGCCTCTTGCCTGCCCTGCTGCAAGCTGTGGCCTGCCTTCTCCAGCAGCTGCTTCGTGGACGTCGTGATCGTCTCCGCCCGCTTCTGGAGCTCTTCCTGGTCCAGCGACAGGTTCATTGACTGCACGGAGCGCGACACGTCCTCCAGGATGCGCCCGGACTTGTGCCGGATCACGGCCACCTGCTCACCCAGCGCGGCCGTGTCCACCGCCTTCAGCTTGGACCCCACGTCAGCGACCGCCCCCTCCCACATCGACCCCGCGGCCGCCATCCACTCTGTCGCGGCGGCGGCCGCGCCCGCCAGAGCCTGCTCGCCCGACGCCCCGCCCGGCGCGGCGCGCGCGGCGCCGCCGGCGGAGCCGGGCGCGGCCGCTGCCGCCGAGGGCTTGGACATC